TAATTTATATGCTTACGTTTTCTCCTGCAAAAAACGCCGTGTGTTCTTCATTTTCCTCTCTTGGCTAAAAGACTCTAGCTGCATGCGAATTATTGAATTAAAATTATACTATATGTTAGTCCCGAAATGATCAAGTTTTGTCAAGTGGACGCTAAACCACATTTGTATCTCTCTATTTCATTTTGGGTATCATTGGGACTACAAATGCATGGGGAAAGAGGTCAAGTGCATTTAAATTGTTGCATTTCAATACCATTTAGTGAATGTGCTACAAATTTAATAGCTTCCTTGAATTAGCATTATTAACGATTAATTATCAAGAAATTCTCTCCTTCCTCAATGTCTTATTGGTCTATAACATAGTTTTATCTTAATCTTTATAACCACAACAAGTAAAACATGTTACAGTCACCAGATAAATATATTGAAGGGAGTTGACTATCTTGGCTAACTATAACATGCAAAAAGTGGGAGAAAGGCAAAAGAAATGAATACAAAAATACATTCGCTCGTCTTAATCCAATTTTACTTGTCTGGGGTTATCCCCCTTACATAAACTCTTAGACGCAATAGGATAGCATTGGGTTCACCCAGTTCATCGTCTCGTCAACACAATACTTTATGTTCATTTCTAGACTGAAATAATTATCATTCCAATGCTCACTTGTACAATACGAGGAAAACGAATTTAGCTGATACCTCAGCGTTTCCACATACTTTTATTCGAATGCCAAATGCCAAGGATTAATTTACGTGCACGCGTACACGAATGAACAATAAGGCAATTACTATTAGACACACTTTTCTTATAAGTCCCAAAAGCACCACCCCTGATGAGGGAGGACTCCTTAATTGTCAGGTGGAATAGAACCTGCACCCAAAACTCCCTTTTTGCAAGAGAGAGAGAGAGAGAGAGGGAGAGAGAGAGGGGGGAGTTGGGGGAGGGGGTGCATGGGTTTATAAAAGTGGGAAGAGTAACAAAAGAAAACTCAAACGCTTTTTCTGGGTGACAAAACCCCCCTTCCAATACCCAAGGCTCACTGTGGCTTTTATATATGGCTATGAAGGAACTGGATTGTCATTTGTTGGATTTAGAAGCTTATGGAAGACCAAACAGCTCTTTATTCAGTGTTCTTAGTCCTTATTTCTTAATTCATAGTCCTTAATTTTTATTTCTTCATTTGTTGCCGTATTTCGACATTTGTATACTAAAATTAACATTTGTATCTTCAAATCAATATTTTGTTTTACAAATAAGACATTTGTCGTAACAGATTTGTAAAATGTAATTTAATTGTATTTCAATATAAAGATAAAATTTATTTTAGAAAATCAACAATTTGCCTACATTTACTAAAAACAAATCTGAAACAACAAATTTCTAAATACAAATCTCTAAATACAAGCAAAACATTTCTCCAAAAACATTTCTTCAATAAGATTTCTCCAAAAAACATTTCTCGAAATCCATTGAACCGGAATATTATGACGACATGAACGGAAATCAACCTTGATACAATAAGTCACCATACAATAAAGGAGACTCGAGCAAGCATATATACAATATGAAAAATCGCTCGATGACCGCGACTCTAGTGAAACCACGTGCGCGGTATGGCTAATCGCCGGGCCTTCGAGAAATAAAATAAATTAGGCTTTGTCTGATAGCGACATATTTCTTTGCTCAAACGAAGGGGTGTTTTTTCTCTTCTAAATCACGTAATCATGAATGTGCCAGGGAATAAGTAATATATTGAAAGAGGGATAAAGAAATAAATACTTTCCGCTCATGCAATACACGATAACTCGTATTTTAACTTTTGACATTTAAGAACCCCCCCCCCCCCCCCCAATCAATTAATAGAGTTTAATAGCGTACAACTTTTCAAGTTATTTTCTGGCATATTCCATACCTTGAGAAAAGATCAAGTGGGGGGGGGGGGTGTATTCAAAGTAAAAAAACCAACGATCTTAATAAGAAATTCTCGATATCTGTTCATATACAGCTGGAAAGTATGTTTATTGTTTGCTACAAACTGTAAATTATTTTCTTGCACATTTGTATTTACATACCTTGAAAAAGAACAATTTTGAAATGGCACTAAATGAAGAGGGGTGGGGATTGGGTGGGGTGGGCTTTAACGTCAAACTACGGGCCATAAAACAAAATACAAGATATCGGGATGCATACCATTAAAAGGTTCGAATACATTTTCCAAACTGTAAAATATTTTTTGACATATTCATATTTACGTGTCTTGTTAAAGCAGATATAATTTGGATTGTCTGAACTCTATATAGTGAGGTGGGGTATTTAAAAGTCAAAATACGCGTCTTAATACGAAATTCCAGTTATCGTATAATGCTTCACCGGAAAGTATTTGTCTATCTCTCTTCGAATATACGAGTATTAGCTATTTTACTGGCACATTCATGATTACATGATTTAGAAGTTAGAAGAGATAAAGCCCTCTGTCGTTTGTCTAAAGAAATATGTCGCTATCAAACAAAATTTAATTTCTGAAAATAGACTACTTTCAATTTATTTTATTTAATGCTACATCAAATTAACCAATATATATATTAATGTAGAAACAACAATGATTTGAAATGAAATGAAATGGGGTTTAACGTCCTACTGTTTTGCTCCGAACTGGGCTAATGAAGACGGGCATACGCCATACAGTGTGCTATGAGGGAAATTTTGCCCGGACAGCGGCACTACGGCCTACTGATATATCGAATTTTAACTGTCAAGGGATCTTTTACGTGCACGCCAATGTGTACACGGAACCTCGGGTTTTCTTCTCATCCGAATGACTAGACAGCTGTGATTGTCAGGCCCTCCGTCCTGCATCACTGACAAGGGGGAACCACGCCCGAAAATCTGGGTAAACTTTCTCGGCCAATGCAGGAATCAAACAATGATTTGAATACAACACTTTGTAAATTTGAGTAAACATGCCCGATCTGCACTATTATTTTGTGCCGACATTCTAAACTTCCCATTTACACGAGAGAGAGAGAGAGAGAGAGAGAGAGAGGGGCGACACTATCACAGCCACGTCACTTGACTCGTTGACAGATCTTATGGTCTAAAGCGCACGTATTAGACCATGAGAGACAGACAGGCAGAGACAGAAAGATAGAGAGACTTGACCCGATGACAGATCTTATAGTTTAAAGCGCACGCATTAGACCACTTAACCACACAACTCCCTTAAGCAACAATTATCATAAAAGTTTGCCACATTTGTTTTTTTTTTTTTTTTAGGAAACAGGCAAAGCCTATATAATCCCTCTCCCCAAAATCTTAACATGTAAAGTAATAAAACAAAGGAAATATGTACACTATTTACAATATAATACATAAATATAACTATATTCAATCAATCAGTCAATTGCACATGCATTCAAAGTTAGCTAATAATATTGGTATTTAAATAATAACAATAATAATTATATATACATACACACGCACACTTACATATGTATATCTATATACACACACACATATACATATATCCACCGTAAACAAAGAAGTATTTGTACTTTATCTACTTTAATATATATATATATACAGATACATACATATATATGCACACATACATACATAGAAATAATATTAAACCTATTAAAAATTAAAATCGTTTTGTAATTTCTATGAAATTATGAACTATTGAAAATATGGAGTAGTTGGTACCATTGGTAAGTTCGGAGGATCCAGAAAGTAGTATTTTTATGTTTCTCTGCTGTGTTGGGAGAGTCTCAATTGTTATCCGTCGTTCATCCAAATACAAGGGGCAAACTAGTAGGTAATGATAGCTGTCTTCAAATTGATGTCCACAATTACAAGTAGGATTTTGATGAACATGTCTGAGGAATTTGTGACCGTTTAAATCGCTCATATTAAGGCGGAGTTTGGAATGAATTATTTGATGTTTTCTAGAGCCGTGATCAAAATAGTTTGGAGGTAAAGTATCAGATTTAGAGAGATATGTTTTGAAAGAACTAAGGGAGGGTAAATGTTTAACCGTATCAGGTAGAGAATTCCAGAGTCTGACTGCAGAGGGAAAGAAAGAGTTATAGAAGAGAGAAGTTCGGCAATAAAATTTAGGGATATTGTTATTACGAAGATTATAGGAAATAGATCTAGATGGAATAAGAGCAGAGAGATAGTCTGGGGTTAAATTATTTATAATTTTGTACATCAAAATTAGCTTATGTCGCCTGCGTCTCTCACGACGGGTAACGAAACCTGTTTCACTATACAGATCTGAATGGCTGGTTCCTTTTACAGCCCCGCAGATTTGTTTATTTATTCGATCACATTTCATAAACTTTAGATACATGTAAAAAATTTAAAAAGCGCAAAGAAAATACAGTGGGCTTCATGCGAACGGTAGCAAATTAATAACCTAATCCAGGACTTATTGCTGAAGACTATGGAAGACTAGTCCTAGTGGTTTCATTGTCAAAAATTCACTAATAAAGAATAAAACATATACACATATATTTTACAATCATTGAATATAATCAATCTCAAACATAAGTACAGCTATTAAAACAATTATATCTAAATATTAATCAAATTCTCCCATTCTTACTAAAAGTATAAAAAAAACCAAAACAATCTCATTTATAAGTACGATTAATGAAACAAAAATATATCTAAACCTTGATCAATTTTGCCCATAATCTTACCAAAAGGTTGGCTAGTCGTACATCATTTAGAAATAATACGATTATGTATCTAAATCATAATAGAATCATTCGGCCATACAGTTCTTCATTTAATCCAGTGGGATTATCTAATCGGCTATTGGTTAAATAATCCCTTTATCCCGTTATTCGATTAGTTTTAGCAACCGGCCAGTTTGTGTATATTTACATGGATACGTGTGACATGTTGTATATAAGTTAATACTGTACCTATCGTCAACATTCACTTTCTGTCATCTACTTCCACAGTTGTGTCTTTAACCCTTTAACCTTACAACATGAGAGAAATCGTTCATATGCAAACTGGCCAATGTGGCAACCAGATCGGAGCTAAGGTAAATTTATACACACTCTGGTGCTAGATTACTACCCAATGCATGTTAATTCTACGAGTTTTTTTCTGCCAGAGCAAATTAGTAGATGTATATGCCAGGTGTAAGCATATCCTGCCATTGTCAAATTTTACTGAATGCTTTTCACAATATGTGGTTTTTTTTTAAATATATAGAAGCAATATTTTGTCTAGCTCATTAGGCTAACTGCAGAGTTAAAGTAAACAATTGACTATTTAAGATAATTTATATTGTCAGTATTCAATTTATAGTGCCATACAGATAGAAATATTCACAAATTCATTCATTATCTTTCAGTTCTGGGAAGTAATATCTGATGAACATGGTATTGACCCAACTGGAACTTACCACGGCGATTCTGATCTCCAGTTAGAGAGAATCAACGTTTATTATAATGAAGCTACAGGAGGAAAATATGTACCCAGAGCTGTTCTCGTCGATTTGGAACCTGGTACCATGGATTCTGTACGATCAGGACCATTTGGTCAAATTTTCCGTCCAGATAATTTTGTCTTCGGTCAAAGTGGTGCTGGTAACAACTGGGCTAAAGGTCATTATACCGAGGGAGCTGAATTGGTCGACTCTGTTCTAGATGTGGTTCGTAAAGAAGCTGAAAGCTGTGATTGTCTACAGGGATTCCAGCTGACCCATTCCCTGGGAGGTGGAACTGGTTCTGGTATGGGAACTCTACTCATTAGTAAAATCCGCGAAGAATACCCAGATAGAATCATGAACACGTTCTCTGTCTGTCCTTCACCTAAGGTAAGAATATCTTTAATTTCAAGGACGGAGGGGCTGACAAGGAAAGCTGTCTAGTCGTTCGGATGGTACGAAAAACCGAGGTCCCGTGTACACATTGGCGTGCACGTAAAAGATCCCTTGGCAGTTGGAATTCGATATAAGAGTAGGCCGTAGTGCCGCTGTCCGGGCAAAATTTCCCTCATAGCACACTGTATGGCGTATGCCCGTCTTCATTAGCCCAGGTTAGGAGCAGAAAAGTAGGACGTTAAACTCCATTTCATTTCATTTCATTTCATTTCTTTAATTTCACATCATTGAATTATAAATTATCGTCAAGAACATTTCATCAATCTGAATATTTTAACAATTTAATTGTTGAAGTAAGGTTTACATAATTTTAATCAAGAAAAATGAACCAACATTATAAACCCATTTGAAGAGTTCAATTTATGTGTCTATACAGAGAGATTTCGTTAGTACGAAACTCTTTCTAGAACTGGTGAAAACTGGATCAAATCCCACCACACCCATCCCCTCCACTCCTTTGAATTGGGTATACAATTTGTCATCCACCCATATATTTGTTTCAATCTGTAATTTCAGGTATCAGATACAGTTGTTGAACCATACAACGCTACACTCTCCGTTCATCAACTAGTAGAAAATACAGACGAGACCTACTGTATTGATAACGAGGCTCTCTATGATATCTGCTTCAGAACATTGAAGCTGACCACACCCACTTACGGTGATCTGAACCATCTGGTGTCAGCTACTATGTCTGGAGTGACCACATGTCTACGATTCCCTGGTCAACTGAATGCCGATCTCCGTAAACTGGCTGTCAATATGGTACCATTCCCACGTCTACATTTCTTTATGCCAGGTTTTGCTCCACTCACTTCTCGTGGTTCACAGCAGTACCGAGCTCTGACTGTACCAGAACTCACCCAGCAAATGTTTGATGCCAAGAACATGATGGCTGCCTGTGATCCTCGCCATGGACGTTACCTAACAGTAGCCACCATGTTCAGAGGTCGTATGTCCATGAAGGAGGTCGATGAACAGATGTTGAACGTTCAAAATAAAAACAGTAGTTACTTTGTGGAATGGATTCCCAACAATGTCAAAACAGCTGTCTGTGATATTCCACCAAGAGGTCTGAAGATGTCAGGAACATTTATTGGTAATAGTACAGCCATTCAGGAATTGTTTAAGAGAATATCTGAACAATTTACAGCCATGTTCAGAAGAAAAGCTTTCCTCCATTGGTACACTGGTGAAGGTATGGATGAGATGGAATTTACAGAAGCCGAATCTAACATGAATGATCTGGTATCTGAATATCAACAATACCAGGATGCTACAGCTGAAGAGGAAGGAGAATTTGATGAAGAAGAAGGTGAAGGAGACGAAGCGTAAAGACAATCTTTAGATGACGAGATATTAATTTATTTTTAATCTGTTATATTTATTCTGAATTATATTTTTGTAAGTAATTGAATAAATACCTGTTAATACAAAACTGATCTTTTCTATACTAAAATACAAGAAATTCAAGTATGTTAATTGCCTGTTCTGTTTCATGTATCACACCTTTACTTGACGGGCCGTGTTTAATATCTCGTCAATGCAATATTTCGATTGTTTTGAAACTAACATATTATTGTAATTTATATGGTTACATGTTGAATGCAATGACTATCAGTGCCAAATGATTGATATCTACGTTCACGCCTCTGTTTTGTCATATCCAAATGACTATAAGCACACTATCACGTGGTTTTCGGAAAGGTGGGAGAGGGGGCTTCGGAACGGAAGGTTGCCTAATTTTGAACAATGAAAGGGTTCGTTCACTCATGAGCGAAATGTTCCACACCAAGGTTTTCGAGAAAGATTTAGGGATGGGGTTTTGGTAACTCCGTTATCTCCCATCTAAAATGCTTCGCACCCTTTCTTGTCACCAAATTTGAAAACAAATCCATTGAAAACTGTAGCCTCTACGGAAAGGGTCCGTAACGGAAGGTCTCATGATCCCAATGTTGCACACCAAACTTGAAATAAAGTCCGTTAAAATTGCAATTCTTAATACGCCCACACGCCATTTGTTGACGGACAGACACTAACTATATACGTGCTAGTTATATCATTGCGTGAAATGAACCCTGATAAATCAAAATAGTTCGTGTTGTCTTAAAATACCGATCGAATTATACAGACTATTCAACGATATCGTGTATACCGTTTTTAAGCATTTATTCCAGATTTAGTTTGTATATTCTGGGAGACTGCGGTTTCCTTGCACATCTACAGACCCTTGCGCAATATCCAATTATTGAGATACATGGGAAGTGGACATTAAACCCATATCTGTCTCTCTAGTGCAAAACGGGGGTTTGGGTGGCCGAGTGACCATAAGGTCTGTCATTGAGTCAAGTGGCGTGGTTTCGATGCGAAGCTTATACGTGATAACGTGTAGGTTCGCCTGTCTAGCCTCGTATTGTACGATATGTAAGTCCCGAAATGACTTAGTTCAAGTTGAGTGGATGTTAAACTCTCTCTCTCTCTCTCTCTCTCTCTCTCTCTCTCTCGATTGGAGTAAAATTGGGACTATAAATATGGAGGAAAAAGACCAAATTGAGATTATGACATTCAATCTCATACAGGTTTGTCTTCTTGATGATCATGATTGTTGCATTATGAAGGGGAAATTTCAACGCAATTTAGGGAATGAGCTACAACTTGTATAACTTCAGTGAATTAGTATTACTAATGATTAATGCTTATTTACTCTTATGTGAGAGACTAGTAGCACTGAGACAAATAATTCTCTCTTCAACATTTTCTTGGTATATAAGATATTTCTATAACCACCAGGAGTTCAACATGCTACAATCACCAAATGAATATATTGAAGGGGGTTGACCACCTTGCTAACATTGAGATGCAAAAAGAGGGTAAAATAGAGAAGTGTTATGAATAGAGAAATTCATTCGCCCGACACACTAGTTATAATCCAATTCTACTTATCCCTTACATAAATTTTTTAAGTGATAGGATTGAATTTGGTTCAGCGTCTTGTCAACACGGTACTCGGTCATGTTGAGACTAAAATATGATATTTTTCATTCAAATGCAATGGAAGGAAATTTAGCTGATACCTCGGTGTTTCCGCCTACTTTTCTTCGAATGCCAACTGTTTGGATTAATTACGTGCACGACAATGTTCGAACTAAGGTAATTAGGCACAAGCAACACCCCTGATGGGAGAGGACTCCTTAACTGTTAGCTGCAAGCCCAGGATAGAAACCACGCCTCTTGACTCAATGACTCAATGACAAATGCTATGTTCACTCTGCACCCTTTAAACCAGAGAGAGAGAGAGAAGGGGGGAGGGAGAGGGAGAGAGACGCCCACACATAGACACATACACACATGGGGTTTAACGTCCACTCCATACAAACTAGATCATTTCGGAAATAACATATTGTTCTATTTGATCAATAATTCGCTTGCGCGTAGGGGTCTTAGCAGTGGGAGGAAAGCGGACGACCCGGTGAAATTCCACGAGTTTGGACAGGCGACACTATTCCTTGTCAGGTACAACCACGACACTTGACTCAATGACAAATCTTATGATCTAAAGGGCATGCAATAGACCGCTAGACCAACCAACCCCCTTAATTCCTCTTTAAAGCAACACTTGTCATAGAACTTTGCCACGCGTGGTTATTTATTCGACCAAATAAGTCACATTTAAGAAACTTTATACATATTGATGAACTGGACTGTACAGCGTAGTGGACGCTTACGGCTAGTCCCCCGGATCCATTCACTTTTTTTTAATTGTTTGTCTGTTTGTGTTTTCCTTAGTATGATGTCTTGTCCGTGTATTTGTTTTTGTGCAAATTCTGTGTGGTGCAGTCCCCCTGCACTTACTAATATATATATATATATAATGCAAAGAAAATGTCGCATGCTTCAAACGACCAGTTGACAATAAACTAATCCAAGAATTATTGCAAAAGACAAGTTCGTTTGGTTTCATTGTCAAAAATTCACTAATAAAGAATAACATAAATGTTACAATCAATGAATATAATCAATCTCAACCATAAGTACAGCCATTAAAACAATTATATCTAAATATTAATCAAATTCTCCCATTCTTACTAAAAGTATAACAGAAATAACCAATCTCATTTATAAGTACGATTAGTGAAAAATTAGATATCCAAATCTTGAACATTTTCTCCCATTCTTGCGAAAAGTATAACAGACATAACCAATTTCATTTATAAGTACAATTAATGAGAAACTAGACATCTAAATATTAATCAAAAGTAGTACAGACATAACCCAATTTCATTTATAAGTACGATTTTTGAAAAAGTAGATATACAAATCACAATCAAATTTCCCCATTCTTACCAAATGGTTGGCTAGTCGTACATCATTTAGAAATAATAAGATTATCTATGTCAATCACACAGGATTTTACATGTATCAGCCCAAGTGGAAAATCCGTTGTTGATTATGTATGTACACCACATGAAAATGTGGAACGTGTAAAAACATTTTCTGTACTGAAAATGTCAGATGTTATAGACAAACTGAATATACACCCAGACTCTACGCCGGGTCATTCGCTACTTATATGGGAGGTAGACATTGACCCAACCCAGTCAACAAACGTATCATACTTGGATAATCGTGTAATAAGGAAATATGATTTATCAATTATCCCGGAAGACTTTTTTATTGAATTCAGAAATATTAAGTAATGTATTGGAAAAAATAAATCAACTTGAAAACTAATCTGTATCAAAACAATTTATGCAATCTGCTTACAATGAATTTCATAAGTTCTTAATTAGTGAAATGGAATCCAATGTTCCTTACAAAGATTTTTACGTAAAATCGGAGCATAGACAAAATAAAATGTCTAAATTCAAGCCATATTGGATTGAGGAATTAACTATTTTGTGGAATAGAGTAAAACAATCGGAGAAAATAGACACAGCCAAAGAAAGGTTTTAAGACAAATAAACTATTGTGCTGATAGAAAAAACTTTAATACTCTACTTATAAAGTATAAACGAAAGTATCAGAAGCTAAAACAATTGGAATTAAGTTAACTTTGCGATTCAAATTCCTCAGATTTTTTGAAAGTCATGGGCAAGATTGGTATAGCTAATGAACGCACACGACGAATACCACATAAAATTAAAACTGAAGATGAAAGTTTAAGAATTGGTTAATGTTGACCAACCTAATTGTGATGTGCTTAATCTTGAGATATCCAAGAAAGAGGTCCGGAATCCAGCGAATGAACTGAAACATGGAAAAGCTTCCGGCTATGACCTAATACCAGCAGATATTTTGAAAAATGAGACTGCTGTAAGAATTCTCCATGAACTGTGTTCTGTTTGTTTATCTTCTGGTGTAGTACCCGACCAGTGGACTACAAGTGTTATTCACCCAATCATGAAACCAAATTGTGATGATATAAACTAGATTAAATAAATGGTTAGAATCTTATAATTTGATATCCGATTGTTAGAATGGTTTCAGGAAACGTCAAGGATGTTCAGACCACATTTATTCATTAAAATAGCATAATTGATGATAGAAAATCGAGCAAAAAATCAACATGTCGACTTCAAATCAGTATTTTACGGTCTGACTCGCCCTTATTTGTGGTATAAACTGCAATGTATTGTATAAGTGGAAAGATGCTTAAAGCTCTTAAATCACTATATGAAAATACAAAATGTGCTGTCCAGGTTAACAACCAACTCACGCCATGATTAGGTATCAAGTCAGATGCATAACAGGGCTGTTTGATATCACCAACTATATTTTCTGTATACATTAATGATTTGGCAAGGGATATTACAAAAATAAACTTTGGTATCCAAATAGGAGACACTAATGTTTCAATATTGTTATATGCTGATGATATAGCCTTGATAGCCCCAGACGAACAATCAATGGAAAAGCTCTTACAGGTGCTTTCAAACTGGTGTCACAAATGGAAAATGAACCTTAATACGACTAAAACCAAAATCGTTCACTATCGAGTATCCTCTAAAACAAGATCCTGTCATGTTTTTAAATGCGGTAAACATGGGATTGTATATAGCGATACCTATCGTTATTTAGGGTTGTGGTTTAATGAGCATTTAGACATGTCAAAAACAGCAAAAGAACTCGTAAAAATCAGCTAGTAGAGCTTTAGGGTTTCTTCTATGCACTAAATTTTAATATCCTTGTGGAATGTCCTCTAAAGTATTTACGACTCTATATATGAGGCTTTAGTAGAACCAATATTGTATAATTGTGCTGCCATTTCGGGAACACGATCTTATTCATGTATAAATTCATGCAGTACAAAATAAAGCAATAAAAAAATTTTCTTG